TTTTCTCAAATACATCTTAAAAATCTTAATATTGACTTAGAATGCCACTTGAAGTCTTTCTAGCATTAAAAACTAATACAGCATAAATGATATTAGATAATCTTTCTTTTGTTATATGTAAGAAAATTCTTGTACTTACAAATACAAATTTAATTATACTAGACTTATAATTTTTTACTTGATTAATTATACTCTTAGTTATACTTTCAAAAAATTCAAGACTATGAGAAATTCATTCTATTTTTGGTTTATATTTTTTTAGCCATGATAAACCTAAAATGATTAGATTAGGAAAAGATTTAATGATATTAAATATTATAAAGCTACTATGACCATTAGTTGTTATTTCTTAGGAAGGATTTTATGAGTAACATTTCTTGAAGACAATGGATGACCAACTATGATTTCTATGTGAACAGATTTAGTTTTCTTCACTAAAATTATGCTATGTCTTTAAGCAAACTTTTCATCTAAGAAGCACGCTTGTATTCTCCATAATATAAGCACAATTCTTCATGATGATGATGAGTCTTTTTATGCTTAATAAGAAGCTTAAAACATACCGCATCAATTTGTATATCCTCTACTTTCAAATATATGTGTTGAGAAGACCTTGGAATTGTTATTAAATTATAATAATACTGAGGTGCACTTGTACAATTCTGAGATTAAAATTCAAAAAATTAATTGTCAAACCTCACAATAAATTCAATTGCTTGACTCAATGTTTGATAATCAAGTAAGTTGAGCATCAATTTTTTTACCTCATATTATAATTTGTAGAAAAATTGGCTAATAGATTTAATATCATTCTACTTAATATCAATTATAAGTTGTTAAAAATATGAAGCATATAATATTATTCATCAATTTCTTTGTCATACAATATGGATTTTATTGGTTACTAGATGAATTGTATCATATTTTGTGTATATGGATCAAAAATCTGCCAAAAAACCTTCTAGATTATTCAAGAATAAATCTCTTCATTCAAGAAAAGATAAAATTTATGATAATGTTGAATCTAAAAAGAGTGTACCAATGAATCTAACTTGCAATCCCAAAGTTGGATAGCTTTGGGATTGAAGTTCAATCACGAGTTGTATTTGATTGATAAATCTTCAAAACTTGGATCTTATGCCATCAAACTTCTTAGATAGTGCAATCTTTGGTTCTTTAACATTCAAAGAATATTTGACCATAGGAAAAGCAACATGTTGAAGCAACTCAAATCATATCTATATCTTTGCTCCCTACCATTCTTATTGCTCTTAATGACAGTAAATTAGATTGATGCATTGCAAGCATGAACTTCTTTAATTGCTCTTGCATTTGTGTGATTACACTCTTTGTTTCAAGAAACTCTACTATGATAATACTTAAAAAAAAAAAGATGTCTAATATTGCTTAAAACAAATAGAAGAAGAGACTTGAAAATAAAGAAAAATTACTAAAAATAATATAAGTTTAGAAGAAAATTATCCACAATTCCTAATATGCTTAAGTCTTATAAAAAAAGAAATAATCCACTCTTAATCAAGAAAAGATAAAACTTTGATATTGTAAGTATATTCATATCAATCTATCAAAGATAAGAACTTGATGAAAGCAAATAAATAAGTAAAACTCTCTTAAAGAAATGTGACAAAATAGAATTAAAAAAATATGTATATTAAAAAAGAAATTAGAATAGCTATTTCTAAAAGAGAATAAAATTAGAGACACTTGAAACTAGAGCAGAAGCAAGAAAAGAGTTGACAAGAAAGAAGAAGGCTTCATTCTTGTCTCTCTATATACTATCTACCTAGAATCTATGTGGCAATATTCTATAAGACCTCCAAAAAATTGATGACTTTGTATAACACATATCTTAACTTGCAAAGCAAGTTTTTTATATAGGTGCTACATAGTTAGCTTGTTCTGCAAGCTACTAATATATATAGCATGTAATTAGCTTGTTGACCAAGTTTTTAATCTATTAATTAAATAAAAATACATGTAAAGTCAAAAAAATATCTTATTACGTATTTAGAATACTGATTGGAAATCTAAACAAGAAGCTCAAGAAGGATCGACAAGAACTAGATTAATCAGATGAGTACAAGAACAACACTAGAGAGGTAAGCTAGAGCTCTAAGAAGTGTGTTGTCAAGATTGAGGATCTCCTTAGTCTCGGCTCCTATATATACTACAAGCTAGGAAGCTCTTCAAGTAGCTTCCACAAACTAGGAAGCTTCTCAAGTAGCTTCCACGAGCTTGAAAACTTCTCAAGTAGCTTCTACAAACTACAAAGCTTCTCTAGAACCTTCTAGAATCTTCTACAACTTCCTAGTGTATGTCCTGACACATCTAAGAAGCTTTTGGCAAGCTTTTTTAAAAGATACTATAAATTTAATCTATTTTTATCTACTTTTATTTATTTCTACTTATTCATATTATTTAAATAATAGTTATAGTAGATATATATTTTTGACATAAGGTCAAAGATGAAAAAATATTGTTGTCCATTGACATGAAGTTTTTCTACAAAATTTCAGCTATTTTTTTTTTATTGTAGTAGATGGAATCTAGACTGAAGTCCTTCTAAGCTTTTATATAGCTGATATTATTCTAGATAGTGTCAAATATAATATTTACCTTTTTGTAATTTTCAATCACATTCTTGAGAGCATCAATATTATTATATTACTACTTGCACTAGTAGAATTCAAAAGACTAATATAGTTGATCTACAAGCTTTATGTACTAATCAATCACCTTAAGCAATGTTGGTCCAGCAAAGAAAATAAAAATACAACATGCCTCCATTCACAACTTTTAACTTTCTGAAATAAATAGCATCTATCATTTAAATTAATCATGAGAATCTAAGTAAAGTGTCATGTCAGCAATATGAAGGTGTTGCTTTAAAAACTTTCTTAATTTAATTCTTATCATTATATAAATTCCTCCATATTAGAAGTTTTGTACCATAAATTTAATCCAATCTAAATAGAGGTGAAAAATACAAAGAAAGATGTGATACGTCATTAATAATAATCATTGTATTTTTTACTTTTAAAAAAATTTAATATTACTTACTAAGTTTAATATTAATTCAATTTATTAAAAGATAGACTATATTCTTGTTTTATAAAGACAATCCAAATAGAATCTTTGATATTTTTATAATTTATATTCTATTTCAATTCTAGTAAAATCCAATTGGTTGTTTTATTAATTTTTTTTAATATAAATAAATATTATTTTTTAAAAAAAATACTAATTTTCTTGAAAGAATAGCAAGTAAGATTCAATTATTAAAAGAAACAAGAAAAATTCTAATAAAAAATCATAGTGAATATTTTGTATAGAAATATTTCCAATGCACATATTTATATTATGAATTTTTTAATGGTGCCTATATTTCAACATTATTAATACATTCTAAAATTAAAGATTGAATAAAAATTATATTATAAATATATATTTAATCTATTAATATCTATTATGAATATTCTTTATTATAGATTGTAATATTATTAGATAATATCTTAAGTTCCATCAAATTTAAATGTCTATACAAAGTTTTGGCTTGATTTTGATTATTTATAATTTATCTTATTTTTTAAAAAATATATTATAATTGTGTATTTTTTTTAATTCTATCTTATTGCACAAAATATTCTATATTAAATGGCTATATTCCATCATATTAGACCAAATTATTTCTAATATATATAGATTATTCTAAAATATAATTTTAATATAAATATATATTTCAAAAATCCAAAGTATTTATTTATATATTATTTAAAATAAAGTATATTAAATAATATAAATTAAAGGAAATTTTTTGTAATAAGAATATATTGTTTCTATTAAATTTTCTTATGTTATTCTATTTTTTGAATTTAAGATTATTTTATACATAATAAATGTAATATAATCACTAATTATATGTTCTTACTTTACTGCTAAATTCTCTCTAAAATCTATAAAGTATATTATCATATTATATAAGATTATAAAAACTTAAATATCACATTGTACTTTTTATTTAATACTCATATAAATTACCTTTCTTTATCTAGGAATATTATTGCTCTATTGATTAAAATATAAATGTACTTACTTTCATCAAATCAAAATTAAAAAAAGATGTGTATGATCTATTATTTTCTTAATCATATTATATTCTTTAGTTATTTTAATATTATTTTAATTATTGAATTTTATTATTTATTCATGAAATCATAAAGTATTCATAAAATTAAATTTTAAGGTTTTAAAGTTTTTAAAGTTTTAAATATATAAAATAAAAAATCTTATTAATTTATAATTATATATAGTATTATTGAATTAAGGTTTTTGAGGTTTAAGAAAAAATTTGAAATTGTAAAAGAAGATTATATGAAGTGTAGAAATATTTGTAGTTTTGAAAAAGAACTCAATCTTTTTAAAATATGCTACAATTGTATATTAATTTCAATACAATTTGAATGATAGGTTTGGTGCATACATGCTTACTATGTTCTTACTACACCTTTGATTTTATTTTAATATTGTTAAAGTAGAATTTATTTATTTTTGAATGGCAAGATGAATTTTTGATGACCAAAAAAATAATTCTTAAAATTTACTTAAATCTCAAGTTGCTTTTTAAAAATAGTGCTATTGATGTTCTAAGTATTTTACTTTGTTTCTTTATTCCAAGTGTTAGTGCACTTTTATAATCTATACAATCTGGTACAACAATTCCCTCGTCCAAAGAATCATATACCCTACTTGTGGCAACCCATATCCTAATGATAAATCTTCAAATTGTTAAAGCAGGCAACAAATCCCCGAAACGAAGCAGACACTCCGAGATAGGACCACTTGATACCCGGCTCGTATCCAAGATTCAGCTTTTAATTATAAAGACCTACCCGGAACTGTCCTGGTTGATAACTGGATATCGAAACATACACTGACATCCGGATATGAGCGCCACTATGCTTTCCATCACAAACCTCCTCTCGTCTCTAAGACTTCAGCACAGACGCCTTCGTGGTTTTGTGGCATCTCTGTAATTTGCACAACTTTAAGCTCATGGCTATGGCGAGATTCGCAATACCTTCCTTCTCCTCCTGCTCCTGCTCTCTCTCCACTCTCTCTACTGCTTCATCATCACCTCGAATATCTGCTCCGGCTGTGCAAATTTCATCCCAGCAATCGTTGATTGTGCTTCCAGTTGGGTGGGGCTCACTCCGCTTGGAGCGGTGTAAGGGCAGGAGATTCAAATTCGGAGGGGCGGGCCATCGACGTCTGAAGAATGGAGTGTCCGGAGTGTTTGCTGAAATGTCTACCTTAGATGGTGACTACTACTTCTCTCTACTCATCTTGTGTGAGTTTGTTAATGGAGGGAGTAATTGGCAATTGGATCGTGTGAGAAAAAGATTGGTCACTGTTTTGTAATGCCGCTAGAAATTCGGATAAAGTTTTGTTCATTTGAAATTTACATGAAAGTGAATTTCTGGAATTTTATTTTTTGATTTTTTCAAATTGAATTTGCTTGAACGCATAGATTGATTGGCCTGCAAGGAAGCGTGGTTCTGTTGGTTTAGCTTGATTTTCGCTGTTTTCTTGATTGGCATGGTGTGCAGAAGCGACAATCCTAGAGCTGCCATGTCTTCCCTTCTCTCCAGCCGAGGTTTGTCTTTCTGAACTTGTACAACTGTGGAGCAGATAATGGTGAAGTCATTTGAAGTTGCTTTAAATACATGAATAAATTACCATCGATTAAATAATTAAGAATATAAAGTATGAGTCAGTGATATCCAGTTTCAACTCTTCTGTCAATTAATAATAATTAGAATGACAGAAGAGTTGAAACTTAATTATTCTGTCAATTAAGTGCTATCTGCACTGAAAGTAGATCATATATTCTGATCTATCCAAGAACCATATGTTGAATTGAAGTTTAAGAAGCGAGTGGGTGCAGTCAGGTTTGTTCGAAATACGAACATGTTAGAAGGAACACAAAAATAAATAAATAAAATTCAAGTCTGATCAGCTAATTTTTTTCAGGTTTTCATTCCATCTTCTTCCAAGACATTGCATCTGTACGAGGCCAGATTTTTGTCTCTTCTCGAGGAGGTATCCTTCATCTTCTTTCATCACGCCATGATTTAATTTTCTAAATCTGATTCAAATCAGTCTCATCAGCTGCGCACGTGTGAGTTGACAGGTGATGGTGAAAGGTAACAATCTACTAGCACACATTGTGATTGAGCCAGTTAAGGGAGATGAAGCTGGAGTGGCCTCTTTCGTAGCAACTTATGGCTGTCTGGCTCGTATTGAAAGTGTAAGCAGCTGAGGTATACAACTACTGGTTGAAGAAGTCTAAAAAACGTCGTTTAGCTTGAATGAAATTGAAGGAAACCATGCAAATTGGTAATTTTTAATTTGTCTTTTAGAATCGGTTAACACATATGCGCACACGATTGTGGTGACTAAATCCAGTGGCTGATAACTACCGGAGAACCAACGTAGAAACATTCTTTTTGTTGATGTCCATGACTAGCCAGGTTAAGCGGTTGGATATAGGAGCTCTGGTTTCCATACGAGGAATTGGACGCATCAAAATGGTTAGCTTAACGCAGGTAGGTTTATTTCTGTCCTGAAGAGCACACTGTCACTTCGCACATTTTCTCAGTGTTCTTACGACCCGCTTCTTGTTAAAAATGACAACATCATGACGAAACCGTTGGCTGTGTGTAGATGAGAACATAGAGAGGCTTTAGATATGCGCAAAAGTTGATACGTTTAAAAGCTGCTTTTCAATGGTATAGGACAACTGGCAAAGTTCTGTTTTTTGTTAGGATTTCAAGTTCGTTTGTCAATCGTCTGTGTGGATGTGTGCTAGATGGAGCCATTTATCAAGAGCACAGTTATGCCAGTACGAGATGCTTATCCAGAAGATAGACAACCTTTACTAAAGAAGATCGAGAGTCTTAAAAAAACACTTGCTGAGGTTCAACAACTACAGATAAAAATTAAGGTAATGTTCTTTTTAGGAGCCCGAACATGTCTTTGATGCTCTTGAATCGAAGTTCTTTAGGAAGCTAGTTGTATTCTTGGTTACAGTTTTGTGTACTTTTATGTTGTGACTTCATAACTTCCTATGTTCTCGAAAATGGTTTAGAATCGTTCTGACTAGGTGGTATGTGAGATTTATCAGTAGATTAATTTTATGTCTTGGATCTTATGTTGTGGTGCTGTTCTTGTTTATTACCAGACTGCAAAAGAAGTCCCTCTACTGACGCCACTGGAGAAGGCTCTTCAGTGGGCAGAGAAGGGAGAACCGGATTCCATAGTGGAAAGCTTTGTGCCAAGTCGGGAAGAGCGACTTTCATTTGCAGCTCTGCAGCCAATTGCAGGTTACCCTCCATGCTACTCAACCAATGTCTTGATTCTTTCTCAAATACAATATACTTGGATTTTTGTATGGTCAGGCTGTTGGCGCCACTGGTAGAGTCATGCCATCTTACTATTCGGATTTTCCCCTTTGTTGTTGAAGGGGCAAGTCCTGGAGAGTTGCACAAGTTGCTGCAAGAGAGGCTGAAATCTATGACCACTGTGGATACCGATGTTCGGCTCAACAACGTCATTGAGTATGCAGAGCAAAGTCGGGCATCTGTAGCAGCTAAGGTTGCTCTTCAATCATTGCAATTGTAATAAGTGTTTGAGCATGAGCCTGATGTTATGTTATCTTATGAATAGTGAAGGATCACTAATTGTGCAAGAGGGATGTATTTCCATGAGTGGAATATGAAGCATTACTTTTCCAATCTAGTGAGTAGTCGGGAGAGATTGTTGCCCTGATTTTTTTGTTCAGTCTCCTATCTGCACATATCTCAAGAATCTTTCATTCTGCTACTATTTTCAAAGTGGACTTTTCAAAGTAGCGTCCTACCTAGACCCTCGATTTGACACACCACGAGAACATTCGTGTCTAACGTAACTGTTTCATTTTTTTTCATTTAAAAAAAAAATAGAACTTAGCATTTGTTCAACGTTTTGTATTACATAATTATTGATAGCCTTGAGAATCGTCAAAGGAGCAAGGCTATGTATAGGTGCTTAAATTTGTACATGTGGAATGATTCCAAAGAATATTACTTAAGAGATGGTTTCCTATTCTTGATTTAGTTTTTTAGTTTTTTAGTTTTTTAGTTTTTTTTTCTTTTTTTTTTCTTGATTATTAGTATGATGTAACAAAAGAAGAGAGTTATTTGGATTGTAAGAGTTTAATTTGATTAAAAGCCTTCAAGTAATATTAGAATACAACAGGCAAAGTCCAATAACATACAATGGATCAGCTTAGGTTGCAAATGAATAAACAATGTGTTTGATGTGTGAGGTGCTTATGTAGATATTAGACATGATTATCTAATCTATTATGGTAAATATCCTTTTGTGGTTAAAATGAATCAAACTTAATAAAAATGTATATATATATATATATATATATATGCATATTGTTATGAGAAATCAACTATTTGGTATTAGAGTCTAGTATAACAAGTTTATTACATTTATTAAAAATTATATAAAGAATTATGAAGACATTAATTATTTTTCATGATATTAAAATAAATTAAAAATAAATTTAAAAAATTCTTCTTTTTTTCTTCTAAGATTCCAATGATTTGAATTTGGACTTTTAATTGAAGAGACTAAAGACAAGGTAATAATTAGAAGGCATCAAAATTTTTAATTTTTTTAATTTGAAATTAAAAACCAAGTATAGATATTATATATATTATTTAATATAATAATTATTTTATATATATTTTAAAATTACTCATGTCAAATAATTTAAATATATAAAATTATACTATAATAGAGTGTTTTTAAACACTAAAAAATTACTTAATAATTAGATAAAATAAAAATTATTATACTATATATAATTAAATTATATTTAAAAATTAAAAATTATATTTAAAAATTAAAAATTTTATTTAAAAATATTAATGTTTTTTATTTTAAAGTATAATTTTTCTCAGATTTGAATATTCAAAAAAAATGCATAAAATAAGGTACTTATAAGTAATACAAGGCTATTATACTTAATTGCTTTAGTTGTTGGTCATGATCCTTTTATGTAACTAATAATATTAATTTTGCAAGTTTGACTTGGTCATAGTCATTACAATTGTACAATTAGCTTTAGGACCTTGTACAATCTTTAAATTTTGGTCCAGTTTTTTGTAATTACCTTTTGAAATTGTCAAAGTCCTATTTGAAATAAAAATAAAAAATAAGAATATCAAAGAATTTTCACATAGATATTAACAAGCTTTATTGTAATTTCTACTATACATAAAAAAAAATATTATTTTTAAATTTATTTTAAATATTTTTTATAGCAAGAAAATAAACTAAAATAACAAAGATCATATATTAAGCATATAATATTACTGTAATTTTATAAAATAAGGCTAATTTTTTTGAATAATATGCTGTAATAATATTTGAAGTAATTTTAATTCAAAATATTATAAAAAGATTAATTTATTAATTTTTATGTAATTTAAATGATTTTTTTAAAAAACGAAAAAAAATATTTAATGTTTCATACAATATAAAACATATGTGTTTACATCAATTAAAAATCAAAGTAAGAAATAAGAACCACAAAAAAAAGATTAAGAAAATTAGTAAATTTAAATTAGAATTGAGCCTTAACTATTTATTTTATTTTATGAGAACCATGTATAAATATTTTTTTTCAAATGTAAAAATATTGATAGTCAAGTTGGTTGAAATGCAAGAAAGAAAATACCTTATAAAAGATATTAAAAAAAATAGATAGATGATAAAATTTTATTAATATTTGTTAAATTTTTAAATCTATAAATTTTGAAAAACAATTAAGCATAAATATTATAGAGGTACAATTCATTGCACAATTCAAATTATAAGATAAAATCAATTAAGATTTAAAAAAAACATTAGTAATGAAAAGTGAGAATCATAATAAATAAATAAATAAATAATAATTGAAATATAAAAAATATATTCTGAAGCTAATATAAATTATTTTATTAGATTGTTTCTTGATAAAAATTAAAAATTAAAACAAAAAATAATAGAATTTTAAATAGATAATTCTTTTATTTTTTAATAATATAAAAAAACTAAATTTTTTATAAATAAATCATAATAGCTTATAGTTAAAAATAAAAACTATAAAATAAAATAATTAGAATTCACCTTAAGAATAACTTGATTAAATGATTAAATATTTGAACCTCACTGAGACTAACATGTGATGAGTAGGATGCTTTAAAAGGACTATAAGGTCTCAATCTTATTATTCTACTAATTGATGATATAAATTTCAAAGAGCCAAAGAATCAATATATTCTTTTGTAACTTAAAAAGAATAGATAATTACTTGAATTAAATATAATATTGAATTAGAATAGCTATTGTCATAGAAAAAAAAACTAGGGTCTCTTCAAATAAGACTAAAAATAAGAAAGGTATTGACAAGAGTGAAGAAGGCTTCAATCGTTCTTCCATATATACTATCTAATTAGGAGCTACATGACAATATTCTATAGGATCTTCAATATATGCTAAACTTGCAAGACATGTGTCAAACTTGTAAGATAAGTTTCCTATATGTATGCTACATGGTTAGCTTATATCACAAGCTACCAAGACATAAGATATGTAATTATAAAATTTCCAGGCATATAGATTGTAGAAGCTTTTAAACTTATGTTATCATCTTATAAGCAATGCTTGTGAGGCACATATAAATTGCATAGTTAAATGTTTAGATAGTTGAAAAACATGATGGATGAAAGTTATGAAGGATGAAAAATAATCTAAATGGATGATGGATATGATGGATGATAAATAAAATAGATGAAAAATATGACAAATGATTGCGTAGATGGATGATGGCCATGAGAGACAAAGGATTTAATTGGTACAAGAACTAAGTTTAGAACATTTATTAGAATTTTTAAAAATAAAACAAGGATTTTGAATATTTGTTTGAAAAAGGGAGCTTTTAGGAAGGAACATGACAAGACTATGTATGTATTACATACTATTTTTTATATATTGATTATTTTTTTATAAATGAGAATAAAAAGAAATTTTTCAAAAAATTTATGAGTACTTGTTAGTAAAGAGTGATAGTAATAAGATTTATTTTGAATACATAAGTATTAGAGGCAAAGTGTTCAAGTGTACTTATTTGCCTTAAAATTAGATAGATAGAGTAGAACTTATTGTAGATTGGAAGTTTTTAAAAGGATGAAATAAATGGAAGATAAAGGCCTTTTATATGGTTGAAAAAACTATACTTTTACAATCACAAATATATAATTAATTGAATAAAAAATATTGAGTAGAAGATAAATATAAGTAGATTTATAATATTTTTTCAAAAAAATTCTTAAAAGCTTTATAGATACATATTTGGTTTTATATATGTTTATAGTTGATTAACATGTAAGAAGCTTGGCCAACAAGTTGGTCATGTGGTGCATACGTTGGCAACTTATAATACAAGTCAACCATATATCTTACATGTAAAAAACTTGTCTTGCAAGTTAAACATATGTCTTATAAGTTAGACTTGTGTTGGAAGTTCTATAGAACATTACCATGTAGTTCTTAATTAGATGGTATATATGGTGGTAAGAATGAATCCTTCTTTATTCTTGTTAATATCTTTCCTATTTTTAGTCTTGTTTTAAAAAACCTCTAGTATTCTTGCCTTTAGAAATAGCTATTCTAGTTTTAATATCATACTATTTTTGAATAAATATCTATTTTTTAATAAAAAAATATATATTAAGATTTTGATTTTTTTTCTTTGATGTCCTTAATAATGACTAAAAAAAAGATGCATGAAATACATATTAGATTTTTATAGACTTTGGTTTGTATAATCAATAGATAATTAGATTAATTTATTTATAAATAAAAAATATCTATATTTTATAATAATTCAATTTATCACAAGAAAAATTTATTTTAATATTGTAATAAAGTAATTATAACTTGTTGTAAATTTAAAATTGAAATTATTCTTTGCAATAGATAACTTCATTAGTCTTTTTTTGTTATTGAACTTCTATTATTTGTGCCTTCATTGTCACATATAACTTTAATAAGTAATTTTTTATATCTTTTTCTATCAAATTTTTTATTTTTATAAAGTCAAAATTATCAAATTATAGATGATAACCATAATTTTCATAAAAATATGCTTGTTGAATAGAAAATATATTAGATTATTATAGATAAATTTTATTTATGACAAAAAAATTATTCAATTATTTCTATGGTAGTTGATGGTGTACCTCAAATACTATTCCAAAATTTGATTTATTTTTTTTATTTATCCATCAATTTGGAAATACAAAGCTAAAAATAATTTTGTATATTTTTCATAGCTTGAAAAGAATTCTTCAAAACTATAATACAAATTGAATTCTTTTATTTAACATAATATCTCTTGTTAGTCTATAATAGCTATAAATATTATTAAAATAAAGTTTAGTTATTATTTTGTATAAATTAAAAAATATACAATCTTAATAAAATAATCTATTATTACAGATATAGAATTATTAAAATTTAAAATTAAAAGATATGTAATAAAATCCATAGAAATAAAGACTATGGTTGTTTTGAAATAAGTAATGGTAAAAGAAGTCTATAAAATTGATGATAAGAAGTTTTTTATCTTCAAAAAATATCACATGATTGTACAAAGTCTTTAATAGACTTCTATATTTGATGCTACTAAAAATCTCTTGATATTAATTTTAAGATCTTGTTGTATCAAAAATATCCTACAATCAAATAGAGATGATTGTTTTTGAATTCAAATCTAGAAGAATTAATATCATGAAAAAAATAATCTTATGACATACATGATTGGACTTGATTAAGAAAAATTGAATCAACAGTTAATGCTGATTTTATTACTTAAAGATAAAAATTACTTTGACTTCAATAGAATTATTTGTTATTGATT